TGAAAGTAGCTCTAATGGCCACTAATTACCGACATTGCCAAATGCTACGCGCTATTGTAGTCCGAATAATTTTTTTTTGTACCGCCTTAACTAATCCCGTAAACTTTAGCATTAATTGTATTGGAATTAGCATCAGAAATAATTATATCAAAATTTTCCGAATCGTTGGATGAATTATTTTATTATCTTGTTCGCTACAAATATTTTCTCATGGACGAAACACCACCCTGGAAGCTCGTTCATATTAATTCACACGATGATATCATTTCATTTCCCATTTATGACGATGTCTTCTCCCCTTCTATCCCCTTTCACCACATTTCTTTCCTTTTTGTTTTTCTTTTCATTCCTTCTTTTTTTTTTTTTTGTTCTTTTTTTTTCAATAATAATAAGAAAGATTCAGGAACCAAATAGCCATCCTACGGAATGCACATTCAGCCAAACAAACCTCCACGTGCACACATACCACTGGGAGTTGTAGACCAACCGCCCTTCTAATTCCCAACTGATTCATCGTAACAGAAATTAATATTATTCTATTATTAATAATATATTAATAATATAGTTCAATGTAATAAAATCCTATTATGATCCCATATATACTCGTCACATTTTAACTGTCATTTTCATAAAAGAAAACCTAGTGTGGGTTATCTAGCGATAAGATTTAACAATGAATTTTGCGGAACGTCTATTTATGAAAGAAATTTCACTCATTACGATAATAATAATAAGCTAAACGAGCTCGTGCTAAAATAGAGATACGAATTTTACTTAATAAAAAACTAATAAACTATTGATTTTCGGTTAAGCATGAAGAGGTGCAATAGATGGTTGTGTGCTTAAATGGCTTATCGGTAATTCTACAAGCATCTATCGTATTTACTAAGTACGTAATACTAAGATAACTAACTAATTAATCATTCAATTATTACCATTACAGAGACAGAGTACTATGATATGTATTATACAACATTATAACATATTGTATCGATTAATAATTTATTATCGATTACTTACCTTGGAAAATAAAAAATCTACGATACCGTAAACATATGCCACTGTGTGCTGTCTATTATACTTAATCTTCTACTAAAGTAATAGAATAAAGTAGAATATCTTCACTGACTTATTTAATTGTATCATTAATATGAATTTAAAATAAATTATTTAACTTAAAATTAATACACGCGAAAATGTATAATTATTGGTAATAAAGTAAACTAATATAAATAAGTTTAACTAAACTATTATAAAGATTTTAAGTAGAATATAAAATAATATAAGAACATAACATAAGAAAAAATCTGTTATATTACGCTTCACTGTACATCCATATATGTTAAATTTTATTTCGAAAAGATTCAAATCGCAATAACAATGAAGGTATGAAAAGCGATTATGTGAATAATATTAGCACTTTCCCTCAAAGTTTATTAAAGATAAATATTATGTATTGTTTTACTTTGAATTTGTAAATTTATCGCTTTAATCATTGTTAATTAATATACTTCTAAGTGAAAGAGATATTTCTTTAATAAGTTCCGAAAATAAATTAATTAATACATCAATTTCCATTCTTCATCTAGAGGACAAATAGATATTCAAATTTTTTCGCTATACTTAATTGAGATAGATTGAAATTAAAAAACATCATTTAATAGAAGCATTTATAAATGATGTGTTAAAATATTCATAAATAATTTTAAATTTAACTTTTGACAACCCTAAATTCACTCTAGACTTTCTGTGGATTATAAAGTCACGAAGGAAATGTCGGTCAAAGTTACACAGGGGATTTCAAGGAGACGAAATTCTATACACACACGCGCGCGCGCACACACACACAAAGCCCTTTCATCATTATTAAACTAAAATATACTTATCTTCATAGAATTACCTAGATACGTCATTTGTGTTATGATAGTTTAAATAATAATATACAATAAAAATGTGTCAGAAACAAGTGATATAAGTTCAGAATTTTCAAAAAAAAAAAAAAAAAACAGATTGTTTCATTACATATGTTACTTCAAATAGACTGACATTAATATACGAAATTATTCAAATAAATATTATTACAAAAATATCGTTTCATTCTTTATTATATCTATAATAATAATGATTAAATATACAATAGAAAAATACGTACTATTATGTAGAATGAATATGCAATATAAAAATGCATAGCGTTAAGTAAAAAATACACTTTCTCTTATTGAATGAAGCTTTTGTTACATTCTATTTGTTATATTCTATTGGGTACATACATTCCCGTTGTGTGTGTGTGTGTGTGTGTGTTCGCGCGTGTGCGTGTGCGTGTGCGTGTGTGTGTGTAAAATAGAAATGAAGATATGAATATAAAATTAGATATATATGAGAAAATAAAAATTTTTATAATATCCTCTTGTATTAAATATATAAATATATATTTATATTTAAATTTGAATTTTTCATTCTTATTTATCAAGCGGAAAACGTTTTATATAAAAATTATAAAATATGATAGGAAGAACACATCTGACAAGCTAGTATTTTATACTATAAATATTTAATTTCTTATGAAAGTTTTAAAATAACTTTTACATATAAACCGTAATATAATGCATATAATATATTGTGTTTCTAAAGTTTAAGATTTTTTAAAGTTTGAATGATGAAGAAAATTTGTATAATTTTAATAGCTTTTCTTACTCAAGATATATATAAATTGGATTTATAGTAATACATTACTAATAATTGTCTTCAAAAATTATCCATACGTATGTAATTTTTGAAAATCGATAAGACCCCATTTTATTCAATTTCATAAAAGATTTGAATTCTATAAAAATATCTTGTTTATATGTAGAAATTGTGTACATTAAATCTATATACTATTAAAGGACATTTATAGTTAATTGAACATTTACTTTTTATAATACTTATCCACTACAGTATATTATTCAATTGTTAAAATGTAATAAATTATTAGAAAAAATCTTATTATCCAAGAGGCATAAAATTATGGATACCCACGTTGATACTTACAAAAATATTGAGGAAAATCTTCATTTCCCTAACAAAATCTTTTCATTATTACTTAAAAGTTTCATTTTAAGGAATAATTTTAAGTCTTAAAGAATAAAAGTTTTATAAAAAATGTATTAATTATTATAATTTCCTATTCTGACAGAAGTGTTTATATAAAACTTACTATAAATAAATAATTGTAACTAAAAATCGATATTTATATTAAATGAGAAATATATACTTAAATATATAATTTCTTTATATTAACAAAAAGTCTCTGGTATTTCAAAATAAATTTAGAAAATTATAATTTATGACGCGATATATTTAGAATTAATTTTACATTTATTTGTATAATAATACTTCATCATCCTAACCTAAGATTTATTTTAAATAAATCGCTAAAGCATCGAATTGTTTCTAATTATATATAATTCATACATGTGCTATCGAATAAATAAATATGTATTGAAATATGTATATAAATAAATGCTATTAAATAAATAAATTTTAATGTCTATTTAATTGATATGACTAAGAATAAAATAAAAAGAAATCAGCATTTAATGAAAGTCTCTAGATAATATAGCCAATAAAATTAATTATTTTCTCTCTGAATTATAATTTATTTACATTTGGAGATTTTTTTTTTTTTTAAACTAAATAAGAACTTGCATGACTTCGATATATTAAATTATAAAAGTCTCTCTTTAATAAAAGAATTCTTTCAATATTCACGAATTCATGAATATGCAACTGAAACACTAAACTTTCTGATGAAATAAAATTTATTGAACAATAAAATTATAAGTTTTAAACAAAGAAATAACATTAATTCTATTTATATAGAAAATTTATTATACAATCATTGTAAAAAAGAAAAAAAGACAAAAGAAAAGATTGATTTCTAATATTTTTCTCTCGAGTAAATTAAAGTTTTATACTAAATTTTATTATTATTTATCCGTATGCAATATTTTATATTTTATTCACCTAATTTCAAATTTTTTTTCTTGTTATTTCATATAGCTTTAGTTAAAATTACAAGCCCGATGGATTATTAAAATTTTATATTGCAACAACAAAATATTAGTTTATTAAAGATAATCGGTCGTAACGTATGAGCTATTAATCTCTTAGAAAAATAAAATTTCAAACGATAAAATTATGTTAAAAATTAATTTGATAATGAATATTATATAAGATATTGTTTTTATGAAAAATAACGACGATGCAACGTTAAAGTGTTAAAGATATTATTATAGCATGAATTTATTATTTATATCTGATTATACGAAATCTTTAGCCATTACTCTTAACACTTTTATTAATCCTAAATGATAATATATATATATATATATATATATATATATATTTTTTATGCCAAAATTACCAAACAGTTAATCACTTCAATCTAAAAATTTATTCCTACAAATTCATGCACACGCTTAATAATTACCGAACTATTAAAAATGCAAGTAAATCAACGAACATTGTAAATTATAGATTATAAATATAAGTAGTTGAAATTTAGATATGAGTATAGATTTTATTCTTTCAATACATAGGATGTGCAAAATAGCCAATTATTTTATCCTGTTGTTTAAATTTCGTAAAAGATGCGAATTGCACGTAACAAAATATAGATTTGGATTAATAGCTGAAAAAAATTATTAGGCCCAATTAATGGTAAGTGTATAACATCCGTCGAATAGGGTGAACGTTTGCTTAATAATATTAATGAATTTCTTATGATTGCTTGAAATAACAAGGAGTCATCGAACTTTCGATTGCTAAATCCAGCGCACTATTATTCTAAATATGTAACGTTGAAAAGCTGTTGAAACGTTCGCCTAGCTGAATGCATAGCATCGCAGTAATATTGACATTATGATTTTTATCGAGAGAGGCTCTTTACCCTCGTGGCCCCATCTCATCAACATAACGAGATTATGCCAGCGCGATGACACGCGTGTGTTATGTTACAGAAGCCCAGCTCGTCGGAACGAGCGGTTGTGTTGAGTCGAGTGGACGGAGATAGCACCGGCCGTTACAGGTGCGAAGTGTCTGCCGAGGCGCCGGCCTTCAACACCGTCTCGGATCACGCCGATATGACTGTCGTTGGTAAGTGCAACGTATATCCACACGCATCCCCTGCCCGAGTCGCAGATAACTCCTCTGCTGACTCCGTGCGTGTGTGCGTGTGCGTGCGTCCGCGAGTCTGGACGCACGCGCAGGCAAATACTCTACGTTTACCTGCTGCTTCATTATCCGATTACATAATCCACGTCCAATTTGTCCTTATCTACTTCGTAGGTTGCGAGCGCTTAACAAGCTGCTAATGAAAGTGCATAACGAGTACGTCGCGAATGAGAGGCAGATAAACTAAACGGGACAGAGACGGAATGGAAGCATGTCGTAATAAAGTTCCAAGATGCTCTCTCTCTCTCTCTCTCTCTCTCTCTCTCACGCCCCCTCCATCTATCTTTCCTATATTTTCTATCTATTCTCTCGTTTCTATCTTTTCTAGCTTTTCTATGAATCGATCCATTTTTTATATTTCTATTTCCCTTTCACGATCCCACCAGTCATCCATCTGTTTGTCTCACTTGAATTCTTTTCCCGCACCAGCTTCGAAACTCAACAATTGCGCAACGACTGTATCAGCAGCAACTGTACAATGGCAATAAAAAAGTGCCTCGCACATAAGAGCTTACTGATTTATACACATGACCAACGTTTATCTCTCTTTCTTTATATCTGCACTTGTTCTTAACGTGTAAGTTTCTTTAGCGAATTTTTCGCCTCATTTTTCTTTTTCAATGCCTGATAGTTATTCCCTTATAACTGAGATTTACATCAAATAAACCCATGCAAATCCACCTACTTATTTACTAGTGTAATGACTTTAAAATTACTACTACACGCCTTTCATACTTTATCTCTCTTTTCTATTAATATCTTCTACTATCTGTCTTTATCGTTCTTTCGTTCTTGCTTTGAATTTTTTTTTTTTTTTTTTTTTTTTTTTTTTTTTTTTATTGCTTAGATACATCTATTTTTAATAGCATCAGGCGCCCTTACCAACAAAACCATTAATGGCTAAATTTTACACATTTTACATTAAATTGTCTCTTCTTGTTAATCACTCGCTTGATTGTGAAAGAAAATATCGCATACACCACGAGATTAGCTTATATACTTGACCTTTTTTCAGTGCTTTCGTTGATAATAATTATCATAAATTTGTACACAAGCCTATTATTATTATTATTATTATTATTATTATTATTATTATTTTTTTTTTTTTTTTTTTTTTTTTTTTTTTTTTTATAGTAAAGTTTATTTTTTCTTCACTCGCAGAACGTAAGAAAGAAAAATATTACGAACAAAATCCTAATTTATTGAATATATAAAAAGTTACACTACTGTAAATCACGTTATTTCAACTATGAAGAATATGGAAACAAAATCACTGATCTTATAATAAGATTCAAATGGATAAGAATTTTCATACACTCTCGTTAAAATTATACAGAAAGCCATTGTTTGCAAAAGTAGAATTTTTTTCCATTACATATTCTCGATGAATCAAATATGTTCAGCGTGGATCACTAATTAAATTCTTAATGATACATTCAATTATATTAAGCTTATAATATCTAAATATAGAATGCTTAGTAACCGTATAGAATGAAATAATTACACGGAGTAATTATTTTTATAAAGACATTATAATTTAATTAAGATAGATTATAATGTAGGTAAATTTACATGACAAAAGCTGCGTGCGAAGATTTAATCATTTTTTTTCATTATTATAAAAATATAGGACGAGAAACGCGTATGGAAATTTTTAAGAATTTTTTACTTTTATCTAAATGTAATAAAAATAAAATCCAAATATTATTGACAACTGTAGAAATAGAAGAAAAAAAAAGGACCGTTCTTTATGGATGATTAATATGATCGAATAATAAAGTAGCTATAAAAATTGAATAAACTTAATGTTCAACGTTATAAAATTGATACTAAACATTATTAATAGACAAATTTTTATTCAATTAAACTTTATCATAGTGTTTATTTTTTGCAATAGTGGACTTTATTAGTAAATTCACGCTTTCACGTAACGAAGTCGGTGTTGGCTAACATTCGATTCCAAAGACCATCGCCATCTTAATACATAGAATCATGTTTGCTGTAGCTGAACATTTTTTGATTAATCTTTCTATATAAATATAGGATATAAATTAATGATCATCCTATCTGCTCTTATCGACCGCAGCTAAAACAGCACTAATGAATGTGCGTAATTAATGTATCGTGACGTGGCATCAACGAACGATCTTATAGAATTCATTATTTATTTACGACCTTCGCGAGCTACATCAAGAACGGGCCGCATAACATTTCTCTATATCGAAAATAATGATTTAATCTATTAATCAACATTTAAACTATTTGTCATATATAAACTGGTTTTATTAACTCTTAATCATAATTTATAATCCTAAGCTCGCATACGAGTATGTTTTTAATAACGAGGTGTACAACATCAGAAACGTGTAAAAAAATTATTTCTACTTAAAAAGTTCAATATTAATTCACGATTATGCCGTGAATATTGCTTATTTCTCGAATATCGGTATATAAAAGTGGAAAATTTCATAATGTAAAAAACAAAAGACTTCGTTCCTACCTAGTAGATGAAAAGTTGAGATATATCCGATCAAATTTCACGAGCTAACATATATCCAAAGCGTCTGAGAATGCACAGCGAGTCGAGTCAGATGCATGCCTAACGTAACTTAGCACACCCACACGTACACACATAGTCATACTGTTTATGCTTCCTTACAAACTTTGACTCGCTATTTTTCAACTTTCCACTCACTTAAGCGCTACAAATTTTTCTTCTAAATTCGTGAAATTTCATGCTGCGTACAGACGTTGCAGATTTCCAAAATTTATCTTTCTTAATGAAACTTCCCATTTCCATGATTATCCTTCCATCTCTATATATCGAGAAAATTAATCTATAACTCTATACTTCACGCTGACAACTATTTTATCTAATTTTATTTTATTGGCTATTCTAAAAAATATCTATCCTTAACGACATACCATATTAATAAAATGCTATTTAAAATAAAAAAACTCCAAAACTCCATTCATCAAAATTTATTAATAATCGATAAGCTCTTCTTATACTTTTATTTTTACTATCAAAGTCTATAGATTCGACCTCAGCCATTTATTAATATAATAGCTTTGTTCGTTGGATAAATTGCACAATTGCTGTAACGATATAATGCTGATTTTAAGACACTGAATAAGCTGTCGTATCATATATGATTAACCCAATAACAATTGAAAAACGATAATTATTTAACAATCTAAAAAATGTATGCCAACTGCTTAAATTATAGGCTGTTTTTTTTTTTTTTTTTTTTAAAGTACTCGGGTCACAATGATAAAGACCGTTACTAATGCCAGCATCGGATAATAAATGCAAAATAAATATTCATAATGAAATTGTAGATCAAAATGGCCAGCAACTGCCCTTTATAAATATCGACAATGCTCGTACTTTCGTTTAGCAAGCTGCCACGCTTTCGCTCGAAATGCTCATCCAAACGAAAGAAAATACTCGGAACTAGCAAAAGATAGTATTGCGCACGCCAAGCTCGAAAAAGCCTAATTGCCGCAATTAAGAAAGATGAGCGGATAGTAGCTTCCGTTTAGCCACTCGCAGCCACTCTTTATCCTGAAAAAAAGAAAAAGCTCATCTCACTTACTCTCTTCTCTTCTGTTTGGGATGCTGACAGTGCTGCCGGAGCGAGGGCCCATAATTACCGGGGGAAAACCGAAATACCAGGCAGGTGACGTTGTCCGCGTGAACTGCACGTCCGCCCCGTCGAAACCACCTGCTCTGCTGATGTGGTACGTCAACGAGGAACCGGTAAGTCATTAATTCATTCGCGGAAAATCTCTCGGCCATAAACTAACGCTCTACGTAAATATCTATATTTGCGCTCACGATCCCTCGATCCCTTAACTTTTTTACACGATTACCCACTCCCATCGGAGCCTGCGCGCGTGTAGCGCACACTTGCGCCCCCGAACGTTAGTATTCGTGTGTGGTAGAGATTAACAAAAAACAAATAAAAAAAAAAAAAAAAGAAAAAAAAGAAAGTACCGAGGGGTAGGCAAACATTTATTTTATTTTTCAGCGTTTGGTAGTGAAACATAGTCGAGGCTATGCCATTCGTGTATTCATTAGTGCCATTAATTACGAGACAAGCGAGACAATATGTCTACTATTATCTGTCAGCCACTTTGTCCTACTCTGCCACGTATGTCTTCGAAACCGTTGATCAGCGAGTTTAGCCTACATATGATTTATGGAACTACATACAAGATATGGATAAGGATTTAAGTTTGTCGCTAATTGATATAATCATAAATTACGGTTTCATACATATGTGGCATTTCATTTGTACTTACCAACCTGCCTACGTACGTACGTACGTACGTATATTACAGTATTACAATTATTTTAAACATATATATATATATATATATATATATATATATATATACGGTGCACGTACGGTGTTCAAATGTGTAAAAATACTAATCATGTCATGGAATTTGAAATTTCCTTATTTTGGCTTATCAACGGCTTATCAATTATTCAATCCTTACGGTTTAATTAGAAATGAAAATTTACATATTACAACGCATTTCTACTCCATTCTATGAGATATATTTTTATATCCCACAAACGATTATTTATAATGTTTTTCGCATAAACTGTAGTTACGAGAAGAGCTATTATTCATATTGATTAGAATGCAACCATGGATACTCCAAGTACTTGATTAAAATAATCGATTTCACCGATTATGCATGTAAAATACCGTTATGAAACTTCTGTAATCAAATTTTGAACTGTAATCTACATTATCGACCGCGTCATAAAAATAGTTCATTAAAAAAAAAAAAAAAAAAATCATAATAAAAACTTAATCGGACACAACAATACTATATACATTATTCCATAGAAATGTACTTTATGTATGAATATATTGTAACAGCTTATGAGGAAAATTTTACGATAACCCAAATAACGCAAGCAAGAGGTAAATAATCAAAGTAAAATTTTATTTGAATAAAAAACGTTATTCAAGTTAATATATGAATTATAATGTATAAATAATTAAGGCTTAGTCGGCTATTCGTAGGAGATATGATTTATTCGTTATTACTTTTCTCGCGCAATGATCTTTACTAATCCAAGCAGTTTGCCCTAGATTACCGTTTTCTAATTCCCTATCCTGAAATGCATGAAAGATGAAAATACAATTCTCATCCAAAATATAAACGTGCAAAAAATATAAATTCTGTTGTCGGATGCAAAAAATATAATAATGATCCTATATAATATTATCATTTGCAACAACGAAAATTGTAATTTCTTGTTAGCATAATTTTTTCAATAAGCATCTTATCAATATATATTATTTTGCATTAAAATTATTTATTTTAGTTTATATATTTAAATTTGTTTTCATTTAACGAAATTTTATCATATCAAAGGATAATTTGAAAGAATCTTCAAAACATTAGAATGTAACATATGAGAATCGTCAAATGTTTTAATAATTGACCTGGTTAAATCAAAGTGATTTGTTGTGCGTGTGCGTGTGTGCGTGTGTGCGTTCGCGTTTGCATGTGTGTTTATGTTTGTACACTAAAGTACAGCGATATCTCGAATTTTGTATCTATAAAATTTAAATTAAAAGTTGAAAGCAGAAGTAAAGTAAACATCCTTCATACAAACTCGGTAATTCTTCAACACTAAAGCGCTCTACGTGAATGGAAGGTAAAATTACAGCGCGAAGAAATACACTGAAATTCAAAATGTAAAAGCATCTCTTTACGATTTGTGTATCTAATCGTCGCTTCAGGCTTACTGAAAAATAAAGCACCGCGATTCCTGAGCCCCGACGAGCATCCTCAACACGACTCTTTAAAAAGCAGAGAATCTCATCACAACGCGCATACATTAACGGAGGCGGAAAAATAAAGTATCTCCATGTCAATCCAGCAGATTATTCCGCTAAAAAGGCAAGCCGCACGCTTCGGTACGAAAGAATTCTTCGGGGTATAACAAATGGCGCCCTTCCTCACCCTATAAACCCCCCACTCCCGCCCAACCCCTTACCGTACCTCGTCACAACCGCTCACTCGTCCTCTGGATATTTCTTCGTTTTCGTATTTTCTCTATCCGCCTTTAAAGTTCTTGCTTACCAGTGGCTGAGACGTACTTAAACCTTTTTCACTGCTCTTAATTCTTTGTATTTGAAAGGAAAAATGAGCACATTCCATACCATGCGAGCTTTGTGCTTCTATTAGAGCACATTAAGCCACGATTTGCATATTTATTTGCTCCATAGTCGATAAGTCTTATAGATCACTTAGATATGCAAGCTCTCCTTCTCCCTACTTTATACTTTTTTTCAATTAATATAATTAAGTACATTATATTCTAAATCTTAGATCTTCGTTTTATTTGACACTAATTTCAATTGCATCGATTATAAACAATTGTGTTGATAAAATTTAAGAATATGTTTACGTAGGTAATATGCTAGAAAGGCTATTGTTATGCCGTTTCGAAACATTCTTCGAATTAAAACTCAAAAACAATCGGTGTTATAGAAATAAATACAATTATGATATATAAATATAATATAATATAAATATAATAAAAGATATATAAATATTTATTCTAAAGATAAAAACAAGATTTTATTCATAATGAGACATGAAAAATAATTAATACATTTGAAGAAATTTCTCATAAGTAGTATTTCATGTATAAATATTAATTATTTCTAAAATTTCAAATAATTATAAGTAATTTAATTATTGGATAATTTTCATATTCTTCTGAATTGTTAATATAACTGTGAATTTATCGTTAAAATTGTTTGAATATGTATTATATTTATATTTATATCGACCATTAATTCCAAAATACTTTTTAACTTCACGCTCAATCTAACTTTAACTTTTTAAGAGATATTGTCCTTTTTTACAATTGTTTGTTATCATTTCACGATTAATGATTTTTATTATTAAAAAAATGATTGAATATGGACTCTATCATTTATATGCTAAAATTATATAAGTGTTTTAATACTAATAAATCGAAAAAATTAAATGAAACACTCTATGAATTTGATTTTAGTAACATATTTTCGTATAAATCTTGAATAATATGAGAAAGATAAAATAAACGCATCCACAGAGAAAAATTTTTAAACTGTATATTAGTATGTAAATATTCAAATACGCGTAGATAAGAGGTTGAAATATTTCTAAAAGACTAGTGATAAAAGAAAAATAATAATGCATATATATATATATATATATAATCAAAAAAGTTATATCAACAACATAATTTTGAGTAAATTTTTAATTACTTTTATTTTATTCAATTATTTGAACAAAAGTAGCCTTAGATTATTATATTTTTAATTAAAAAACAGGACTTTGTGTATATATCAAGGTAAACTCTTAAGTGCAATGTGCTATTGAGAGAGAAATTTCAATGGCAAGGGTTTTCAAACAAGTTTGGAACAATAAGACTTTAGGGATACTCGTCAGGTCCCTCAATAAACAAAAAAAAAATCCACTAAAATTTCAATAACCGAATTAACGATCGATTTAAATAGCTGCTTATTTCGCATACATGCTCTTTACATTCCAATCTTATAGTTCTCTCTCTCTCTCTCTCTCTCTCTCTCTCTCTCTCTCTCTCTCTCTCTCTCTCTCTATCCCTCTATCCATCTGTATAATTCTGGCCTTTCCTCTCTCTTCTTTCTTATTGGCATTACGATCGTAAAATATTTCTAATACCCGTATTTACCTCGCCTATAGCAGCCCTTATTCCTGCTCCTTAACCACCAAACCCTCTACATCCGTCCCCAGCGTCATATCATTTACACAAAAGATGCCACTGCTCTCTCTCTCTCTCTCTCTCTCTCTGTCTATCTCTCTCTCTCTCTTTCTCTCTCACTTTCTATGTCACTCAATTTTCCGCTATGCAACGCCCACCCACACGAACGCGCTTCGGGCATTCAACTTGAATATTGACTGTGAAGCATAACTGATGTCGCGGTTTGACTTCAGTTCGACTGACTTCGCGCTCCAAGTAAGCCACTCCACTATTGCGTACAACCCTCAGGTACTTAAAGTGGGTGCCCGACAAAGAGATGAGCTACATATGACGAGCAAACAGAGTGAGATGTGGGGGCGATGGCGTGGGTTGGCCAAAGCCGCATGAGCCGAGAGCGAAGGATACTCGAAGTTCTCCCACGAGGGCGTTGCATTGGAATTCAGGAGGCTTTCACGGGGTGCTTTCACCCGGACGGAGAAAATCGGTAGCAGGAAATTTACCGATATCCCCCTGCGACTGTCGCGGAATAGCGAGACGTCGACGGAGACTGAAACGGCTGGACCGTATCTGAAAATTAATGTTCCGGCCCGAAGCATTAAGATTTATCGATTAATCGACGGAGGCACGTAAAGCGCTCGCCACGTCTCTCACTAACGTAATTCAAGGCGCTCCCCCAACATTATCTCGCTTCTCTCTATTATCTCTACCCATGGGCACACATTTCTCCTCCCCGCCCCCTCTCCCGCCCCACCTAACGCCCACTACCATATCGCTCGCCGTCAAACTCGTCGTACACACTCATTCTGTCTCGTGAGCTCCTTTTTCTCCTACTTTTGCACTTGAAAATTTCTTTTATTCACGCGTCTAGTCACGATTAAAGTTGCTTCGGAGCTGCAAATTTTCTCGAGTATTTTAAAAGAGCTCTTGAAAATTATACGTGACGCTTGGCTGACTAGAGCATTTAAAAAAAAAATGGCATAATTCATACATAAGGATGCTTCTTTGAATGCGTGTGCATAAAAAAAATATCGATTACTTATTGTTACTTTTCTTGCGCTGCGTCTTCTCCTTCCACGACATTTGTTCATTAAAAAAAAAAAAAAAAAAAAAAAAAAAAAAAAAAAAAAAAAAAAAAAAAAGGGAATATTGGAGGTATAAGTGTCGGACACTATTTAAAAAATAATAATAAAGAGTACGTTTAATTTAACGCAAGTAAAGGGGAGGGGAATCCCTATGATATATACTAGACAATTCTTATACTATTGACACATTTTCATTGTATTAACTATATACGTCAATGTAAATATGTAAATAGAGAATTGATTTTCCTAAATATTAAATAAGTGAAACTTATTAACAGAAAAACAAGTATATAATAGATTGCGC